ACTATCCGTGGCTCTTGGAGGAGGGACGAAAATTGAGGAGCGAGACGGCAAGGTCTATGTAGGACCAGAGTCTGCTGGCCATAGACTCATCAATGAAGGCTTGGTCTTTGGTGGTAAGACGTTAACAACGACAGGTATGTTCTTCAACTGTTTGTGAAGTCAATATACTAATGTAGACTCCTAGATATCGTTGTTGCAAGTGGCCACGCGGAGATTGGAGATGCCTCAAAAGCCAAGGATGTTCCTAACGATATCCTCATGAAGGCACGGCATCGTATAAAACGAATACTCGAAAATGCAGTTGACGCTATGAAGTTGAGTGCAGAAGATGCTGTCGTGATCCTTGTGGGCGGCGGCTGCATTGTGCATATGGATGATTTAGACGGGGTGGGACAAATCATCCGCCCACCGTGCGTCGACCCGAGAAAGTATGGTTACAGTTTTCCGCTGACATCGCTAGGTTCCATGACTGTGCGAACGCCGTTGGAGCAGCGATCGCAAAAATCTCCGGGCAAATAGACGTTGTTAAAGTTCTCGAAGGTCTCGACGAGGATAAAGTAGTCGAAGAAGTCTGTTCAGAAGCAAAGAAAATGGCCATCGACTCTGGTGCAGATCCAGAGTCCGTCACCGTCGTCGCCATCGAGAACATGCCTTTGCAATACGTCCAGATGCGCGCCTCACGGATCGTTGTCAGAGCTGTAAGTCGACAATATGTTTCCTTGTCATTACGCAAACTAACCAATTGGTGGCCAGGCCGGCACTTTAAACCAGAAAGCCCTCTTGCATTATATTTCCAGTGAAGGCACTGAAGACCTTGCAGCACTTCATGAAGTACTCGAGGAGAGAGTTTCCAGTAAGACGAACGCTGAAAAGGATCCGAAGGACTTCTTAGTCAGCCCTTCAGCACTAGTCGACATTCGACAATACAAGCCTGAGGTCGACAAGAATGGCACATGGTGGGTATCCGAGATCGACTGTGAATTCCTTGCGACTGGTTGCAGTACCTTGGCTTGCGGTGGTGGAGGCCCTGGGTACATGTGCTATATGGCCGCAAGGGCAGCTATCAAAGCTGGCAAACGCTTGCCCATAGTTGATGTTGAGACTTTGCCAGACGATGGATATGTCCTCGGTAGCATATCATATGGGTATGTTATATCGCTTTTCTGCTTGAGATGACGAACACTCACCACATTCAAAACAACCACAGTGCTCCAACAGTCACACTCGAACGTATTCCCAGCGGTACAGAATCGGTTGACGCCACGGACGCTCTACTGAGTTGTTTCCCTGGGATCAAGATGAGTGCTCAGATAGCTGTATGATCAGCCAATGTGGTACCGCAAGACCTGCGACTGACCGCATCTACAGCTCGAAATTGGAGGAATGAACGGCATCCGTCCGCTTCTCGTTGCCAACAGTTATGGCGGCATACCAACGATAGACGGTGATCATATGGGAAGAGCCTATCCCAGGATCGGAATGGACACTCCAGCCTGTAAGCACACATATCTGGTCTCGAATAATCGTTGACTCGGTCCAGTATTCGGTTTTCCTCTTGCTCCTTGCACACAAAGTGATGGCATGGGCAATGTCGTGACAGTCCACAAGGCGTCTTCTCCTGAGAAGCTCGAGAAGATTCATCGCAAGGCTGGTCAAGAACTTGGTTTATTCTCACAACTAGTTAATCCACCCATGTCTGTCAAGGATACGAAGGAAATGGCCACATTAGGCACGACTTCGCTGGCATGGTATATCGGCCGCGCCGTTTATCTCGCTAAGCAAGAGAAGACTGATATCATAAAAGCCATTGTAAAACGTCTTTTCCCATTTCTGCGGAAGACTAAAGACTGACAGTTCACAGGTCGAAGCGAACCCATCAGGTCGTATCCTATATACCGGGAAGATTGTCTCGGTCAATCGCTATATTTCAGCTGGTGGGTACACGGAGGGCACAGTCCGTCTGAAGCCCATTAGTAGCGATGAATTGGAGTACGGAGACACGGCCTCATCGGAGACGCGTGAGATGGTTCTACCTTTCCAGAACGAGTATCTTTACGCAGAGCTCATTGAGCCAGATGCACCAAACGGTACCAAGGGAGAAATTCTCTGTACAGTCCCAGACTTGATATCGCTCATTGGATCAGACGGGTATGCTCTAGGAACCCAAGATCTAAGATACGGTGTCCGGGTTAGTGTCGTTGCGTTTGTTGCTCACCCGCACTGGCAAGTCATATCTATGAATATCGACTGAGGCTCTATCTTCTGACATCATTTTAGGTATACCCCAAAGGGGGTTGAAGTTGGCGGCCCCAGAGAGTTTGGTTACGACATGGACTTCATACCACTGGGAACACCCTATTACGAGCCCAAGCGGGTGACCAAGGAGTTTCGGCCGGTGTGATAACAAAGAGGGTCACGTAAGCAGCTTTTATGACCGGTCGCGCTATAGGTGAGAGTGTTATTCACCCTGACCTTCACTCTGAGTGCTTTTGTACGCTCGGCCCGAAGTTCCTTTGTCATAGGGCAAGCCCCACTTGGTCATAAGCTGCGGCCCGAGATGTACCCCACCGCAGGCCCAGTAAGCATGAGATCGTAGACGGGCATGTTTGAGTATAGCAAAATGCTGCCAATGAAGAACCAGTGCTGTTTGATTTAAACTGCCTCGGGCCAAGTGTGCTGAATCAAATTGAAGGGCAGTTCATGCCCACAGGTGGCAAAGGCAAGTAAGTTAGAGTAATTATACAGTCGAACTCGAATAGAAGTTCTGAAGCCATAGACCAACGCATCTCTGCTATGTTTCAGGTAACCCAAGAATCGTACAGAAAGGAACAAATCAATCAGGAAACAAATTCCAGTCAATTATATCCAGGGATTTTCTGACGTTAATCTCCATACAATTCTCTCATATGGTCAATTACTCAATTATCTACAGAGTGCATTATTAATCAGGAGGATAATTACGTCCGTTCCCCCGCCTCAAGAATGCTAGGCTCATGGGCGTTGCTCTGCGAATTAATAAAAGCTCGGAGGGCTCCTCGATTTAGAAGTCAAAGATATATCAGAATCCTGAATATTTCAGCTGTGCTTGTTCAACCCGGTGTATGAGAGCAAGGGAAGCAGTACCAGTCATGTCCTCCACAGCAATCATGAATGTTCAAGTTTTTGATGGTGAAACTATTCACCCAGATACGACAGTGGTTGTATCTGGCCCGACGATAACGAGTGTTGGAGGAAATGTTCCTGAAGGAGCAGTAGTTATTGATGGCAAAGGATGTACGCTGCTACCGGGGCTCATTGACTCCCACGTCCACACGGGAGTTCCACAACTGGGGCTTGCTCTCAGATTTGGGGTGACGACCGAGTTAGAGATGATGGGGCATTGGACCATAGGCCAGCGGAGGGAAATTTCTGAAAGGGACGACCTTGCTGATCTACGCTCTGCGAGCTATGGCCTGACTCCGCCAGATGGCCATCCCAACCAATTGACCAAAAACCTCGATCTGTCAGCGGCTTTCCCGCATCATTCTGACAGTTCGCCAGGTGATCCACTGCTCATAAATGCGCGAACAACAGATGAGGCCATCGCTTTTGTGAGGCAGCGTGTCAAAGAAGGTGCGGACTACATTAAAATCATGATCGAAGAAGGTTCAGTCTTCCGATCCCCTGGCCTTCCAACCTTGCCCCAGGAAACAATATTGGCGGCAGTTGAGGAAGCACATAATTATAATAAGTTGGCGATCGCGCACGCCCTGACGTACGATGCTGCAGAAGAGGCCGCAAGAGTGGGTATCGACGGACTGTCTCATCTGTTTGTCGACCGTGGCGCGGATTCTACCATTATTGAGAAACTGACAGGCATGTTCATCACGCCCTGCCTCTGCCTCAATGCTTCTATCTTGGGAAAGAAACCTACAGATCTCGCCGCGGATCCTCGGGTGTCTGCCAAGCTTCCTCCAGTTTGGCTCACTCACCTTGAAGGCAGCATGGGCACGTTTCCTGACGGGGATTTTGACATCGTGCTGAAGAGTGTGGCGGACTTGCATAAAGCCGGAATCGATATTCTGGTTGGCACAGACAGTTCTTTCCCGGTGCCTCATCTTGCTGGAATTGCTCACGGTGCTAGCGTGCATCATGAATTACAGCTGCTGGTGCAGTCTGGCTTCACTCCAACCGAGGCATTACGCGCAGCTACAAGTGTGCCAGCCCGTTGCTTCGGCCTGAAGGACCGAGGACGAATCCAAGAGGGACTTCGTGCAGACTTATTACTTGTGGAAGGGGATCCAACGAGCGACATTCGAAGCACATTATTCATTAGATCTGTCTGGAGACGCGGCGCCTTGTTGCATTCTACCTTATAGTCAACAAGTTACAGGATAATAGTGACCAAATCTACTCCAAGAGTCGGCGTCAATTGTTAGCAGTCTAGGACAGAGATACATAGTGACCACTTCGACAGAGCTTTGATCAGGCCCCGTGTGGCAGCACCCACATTGTACAGACGAATGTCGGGCCGTCTGATTGACGGAGTATACAAAATGTACAACTTCGGGCCGGTAAGGTATATTCATAGGACAAGATATAGTATTACCTTCAAACCCGTCTCATGACCCCTAAGCAGCGTAGCACGGTTCTGGATTGCTCCCAACAAACCACTTCACTCCCTGAGCAATTACATGTCCATATGTTTTGACCTACTCATTTGCTTGCCGGACCGTAAACATCAGCTGAGACCACCGAGGGCCGCGAGATGCACGCGGATGCAACGCTATCACGGTCCATTTCAGAGTGTCCACAGATGCGGGAGCAATCTCTAAGTGTGGCGGCTGATTCAAGAAGACTGGCTTGTTCTAAAACTTCTAATGACTGAGCAGCTCTTCTTAACGCGCCAGGCGAAATCGGCTTCTTGGTGCTTTTCCCGTTCGTAAATTCATCACTCGATTGTAGCGTTGAACCTGAAAAACAAGAAGTGTCATTGAGATTTGAGCCTATGGGGTGTGACAATGAGTCACAAAATCAACAAGATCGCCATTGTCGGAGCTGGACCTGTTGGGCTCCTTGCCGCCATTTTGATCTCACGATTAGGCGTTCCTGTCGACCTTCTAGATGTCGGAGAAGGTGTCGATTTGCGACCACGAGGCGCGGCCTACGGACCTTCCGCCGTCAGGTATGCTCTCGACAACACATTGAGCCATCATAAATTCCCGACAAATATCGTCAAGCTGACAGCCACATTAGAGGTCTCCGACGCGCAGGAGTTCTTGATCAAATTCGAGCAAAAGGCATTGAGCTCTGCTGGAGAAAGGTCAGCGGCGAATGGATCACGGGCTTAAAGGATTGCTTTGATGAGACTTACACTGATCGGTTTGCAATACTGCCGGTGGACAAGCTATCCATGCTTCTCTACGAAGATTTGAAGAAGTATCCCACGGCCAAAGTATTTTGGGAGCACAATTTTACAGGACTCACACAAGACGCGGAGCAAGTCATCATATCAACCGAACACAACGGTCAAACAAAGACCTTCACGGCAGACTTCCTCGTTGGATGTAACGGTGGGCAGAGCGGTGTCAGGAGAGCCTTATTCGGCCGCAGATTCCCTGGCCACACATGGGAGCATCAAATTGTGGCAACAAATGTACGTGTCGAGACCGCCATGTCGAAGTAATAAGGAAGACTAAAGATGTACAGCTTAAATTCCCTGACAACAGGATGGAAAATTACGGATGGAGCGATATATCTTGGATGATTGACCCAGAATACTGGTTTGTGGAGGCTAAAATTGAGGCCGACCCTGGCGTTTGGAGAGTCTCATATGGGGAACCAGGCCATTTGGACGAAAAGGAGCTACGAGCACGCTGCGCTGGGAAACTTGCGAAGATTCTTCCCGGGGATCCGCAGCCGGGAGATTATGAGCTTGAAAGATTTAGCCCCTTTAAGCTCCAGCAGCGCTGCGCTGAGAAAATGACGGTTGGGCGAGTGACCCTTGCTGGAGACGCCGCTCATATATACAACCCGATGTGAGACCCTCCAGTGGCTTCGCGGGGCGCAAAAGTAATTGACTGATTGAGCAGGGGCGGATATGGCCTGACCAGTGGAATAGCAGACATTGGCAGCCTGGTTGACTGCTTCCAGGGAATTCACGAAGGGCTCGCCACCATAAACATTCTGAACAAATATGATCAAAAACGGCGCGAGAAGTACTACACGGTGACTGGTGCTTCTCGACGGCCAATTTGAAGCGCCTGTTCCTGCCGGGAGATGACGCACTGATGCTTGATCCTGGATTGCAACAGATTGCGGAGGCTGCGCGTAACCCTGTTACAGCAAAAGCATACTTTCAGGTAAGAACAGCGCTGTCTGGTATCATGCGGATCGTTCATCTGACGGTTGTGGTTCAGGCTCCAGATGATCTCTCCGTGGATATGACTCAGTGGATATGACTCAGTCTTGGGACATCAAGCCGATCCAAGAAAACGGCACTACGATAATATTACATGCTTGAGGTTGCAAGGCTTGATGGGTCTAGCTAGAGAGAAGAGTGACTGAAACAAGAATATATACTTCGAGCTATTCTACAGTTTTCTTCTCCATTCTTTTGATTCGGAGCTGCTCTGAAACACTTGATATGTGATGACTTGTTCCTGTTATCCAAAAATGGCACTTCTCAGAGTTCCTCTGTTGGTCTGTCACCGTCCCATCATAATTTTCGAGGTAGACCGTGTAACTAGTGACGGTTGATAAGCCCAGCTTGAAGGCTTGGGGAGTCAACCGCTTCCTCGAAGCAACTAATGCTAACAGGAGAATGTTTTGCATTGATCTGATCAAGACTATCCATATGCGAAGGGCCGACAGAAAGGATTCTGATAGATCTTAATCTTTACACGAATTAGAGAGCAAATCCGGGCAAAAGTGACTGAGCCGACCGACCCGAAGTCAAGGTCTCGCACCGAAGCTTCTCTTCAATCGAATGACTCGTTTTCAGGCAGTTTTCAAGCGTCATATTTGCGTCAATCTACAAGGTAGCGTACTATCAACTAAGCTGTTCTCGAAAATTGGCTATGTCAAATTTCTGGATAATCTAGCTTCAGCTGCAGCCTTCACGAATTACGACGTGAAGACCATCTTGTTTGCGATCTTCCCTATCTTCTCGATTTCAACCTCGACAAGATCTCCAGAATTGAGGTAGACTTGGGGTTTCTCGCGCGCAAGAACACCACTGAAGTAGTCAGCACGGCTCCTGAAGTGGCCATAGAACTACTCACTCCGGAGTCCCAGTCATAATGACTGTACCCCTTTTCAGCGTGATTCCCTGACTCATGTGGCGAACAACAGCAGCGACGTCGAAGATCATGTTGTTAGTGTTGTTATTCTGCTTGATTTCGCCATTCACCCAGGTCTTGAGACACAAGTTTTGAGGATCTCCGAGAGCTGCAGGCGATGTAATAAAGGGCCGATTGGCCCAAACTGGTCAAATGATTTGGAATGTCCGTATTGGCCTCCAGACTGCTTTTGCCATGCCCAGAAGCGTGCGGAAACATCATTGCCGGTAGGATAGCCAAGTATGTACTCGGAGAGGTCGTCGTCTTCTGTTAGATTCTTCGCATTTTTGCCAATAACGACACAAAGCTCGCCTTCATAGTCCAATTCTTTAGCCACCAGAGGTATTGGAATGTCTTGATAAGGTCCCGTAAGCACGTCTGGACTCAAAGTCAGTCCCTATTAGAAACAGAGCAACGCGGGGATCTTCACCACCAAACTTCGTGAATACCACCGGGTATGAAGGAATCGGAAGCTAAACCTGTCAACTGCGAGCCAAAGCAAAGCCGCGAGGCAATGTATACATTGGCTTCCTCAGCATGCGACTTGTAATTCAGTCCAATCCCAAACATCAACGGTATTGTTTCTAGTGGACTCAAGATCTATCGGTAGTCAATAACTCACAAAAGCTCAGTGAATAGGAGGGAACTGATCTGACCTTGGCCACTTCTGCCTTCTGGCCAGACAAGGGAAACTCGGACGCCCAAGGACTAGAGATATCATATGTTGGGAGCGTCTGACCTTGAAGATTTAATTTCCAATCCGCACCGGCCGCGCCATAATGAGTCTTCCCTTGAGGATCTTCGAACCGGATGAGTCTGGTGAATCTGGACGTCATACTTATGGCAAGGGCCGAAGCTTGGAACTACCTATTAGGCTGTAAATTGCGAAGGCCGAGGCTGTCGAAGGATGCTTGTGTGAAGGGGATTTCAACTTGCGTGACCGGAAAACATTTATACTTTGAATGACAAAGATCTGGGTCAGCTTGTGAAAGAATGAGCTTCGGTGCTCGGAAGTGTTAGTGATTGGACTAGTTAGTAAATCGGCTCGTGTTGCGGTTTGTGGAAGAGCCCTATCCGAGTTTAGACTGCGCCGATGCTGCAGAGGATAAGGATGACAGGAACGAGGCTCGGTTCTATGCTACCGACCACGCGCTGAACGTCTTTCAGGGTATCCAGGAATCAAAATCGAATTCGTTGACCAGCGGGTTGTGGACATTCTGGGTTTGTTCCGCGAGGAATATGCACAAGAAGCCCTTGCTAGCACAACTTACCATCCTTGATATTACTGGAGCATGATGAAATTGCGGTTCACCAAGGCTCTGTGCAGGACCGTCTGACAAGCTCGCTGCTGAAGCTTCGTCCACCACCTTTCGGGCGATTGCTGCAATGTCGCGTGCAATGGAAACCTGAGTTTGGATCCGGTCACAAACTCCATTTGCCCAAAGTACACTGCGGCCACATCCAGATGCGCAAGGTCCGACTTTACAGAGGGCATTTCTGGATTTGCATTAACATACACAAATAGATCAACGAAGGTATGCATTGGAAAATGGAGCATGAATCTATAGTCATAGTGTCAGCAGAGAATAACAGACATCAAAAGGTATGGACGCCCACGATTGAGTGCCTGCTCTGTCGATATCCAAATTCCTTTCGATGACTATAAGACTGCGTGCAACGTCTGCAACGATTTGTGAGCTCACAGCAATCTGTGTCTTGACTTTGACAGCGAGGCTGGCGTCTAAACTGCTCGGAAACGACTCGATGATCCACGGGTACGCAAATATAGTATGCACAAGCATGAGAAGGTCGTAAAAAGAGCAATGAGTCGTCATCAGGCCTAACATCCTGATGGTGCCCGGCATGTGAAATTGCTTCAAACAGCTGACAGGTCGAAGCTGTTGGGGTAGCGCCTCTTTGAATAATCTGAGCTGGGTATCGAAGTGCGCAACAAGATCAAACATCTTCATAGGAGGCTCGTGAAGTGCCTGGGTGGCCAGCAGCTCTTTGCTGATTTGGTCATAAATCTGACAAGCTTGGATGGTATATGTGAGCATTTCTGGCTCGGTACTGCTTGCTGCTTGCAATATGGAGGGTATATCGCAGTCAATATCGTCGTCATCGATCACCTTTCGAGTTTATTAGCGGGTAGAACGGTGCATTGGGAGGATAATTCAACTCACAGAGGGACGACCGCACCTTTGTGCGATATGTTTTTCGCTGCAGTACACTCCCCAGAAGAGCCATGTCTGCCGTAGTGCTTCCGAGCCTCTATTTGATCCGATTTCGACTGTTTTACGGTGAAGACCGAGTGACTGAGCCAGCAATGCTGCGTTAGATACCAGCCCAGAGCTGAGAGCCGGGCTTGCTAAGCCATCCGCAAAAAGGCCCTGACGTGGGATTCTATTAGCGTCCTCCGGGTCGTCGGAACCAAATCTTACCATTGCTAACCATGCTCGGACAGACCTCAGTGATGGTCTTGTCAGTAACAGCTCGCTATGTACGGAAAGCGAATTTTGAAAATAACCCCATGCCTCCCTTTGCACACCTACAAAATTGGCACTTGCATCCTCAGAGCGCGATATCCGACAACCACCGGCGTACACTACATTGCGAAGTGCATACCAAGCAGAGTCGTTGTAGTCGAGCTTGCCAGAGAGATGCGCTCGTAAATATCGCTCGAATTCTGGTCTATACACGGCACCAAATAAGCCGTCAACTGATCGTTCGAAATAAGCTAGTCACCATTAGTATCCGCGCGGATGATAAGTGCTTGCCATCAAGTGCAAATCATACCGTTGCAATACTTCCAAGCAAGCTGAGGCTCCGGTTCGGCACACTTCGAGGCAGGTTCATTATGTTCGAGCTTCAATGCCTTCGCCCAACTGTCTTGTAGCTCCTCGGAAATTTCTTCGAATTCGTCTGATCCGATCCGTTTGCGAATCCAAGCACGTCCGGGACCTGAACAGATGGAAAGCCAATACCCGGGGCCTGCTAAATTAATTTAGCTTTCATAGTCGATGCAATACCCACGCACCATAATGGTTCGAGATTAACTGTCGACGAGATCAACACCATGATGAATGAAAGGATTGCATGTCCGATCAACTTACGTTTCGACATTATCGAATGGAAATGGACTCGGGAGTCCTTCGTGTAGTTCGACTGCACCGCTTGCATCCGCCGCGACTGAGCAGTCCATTTTAGACCTTGACTGGTTGTCAGTTAAGAGACCACCTCGTGCAATATTGCTCGCGCTTGCGGGCAAGGGTGTTTCAGGCCGGTGTAGAGTGGGTAAGATGTCCACTCCAGCGCTGAAGGGCCCATCGTGAGGAGCCCAGAAGTCTGCGCTGCCAAACGAAAGAACTTGATCGAGATTGTGGAAGGCGTCATGTACCCCTCTGACACTCGACTGTTTGGATATGGGATAGTTTCAACGTGAGTTTGGCCTTTGCCTGCCATGATATCTACATTACTGTTGCTAATGTCTTCCAGCTAGTGATGAGAGGGAAGTATGTAACGAGGTAATGGAGGGATGCACCAAGGACGGGGCGAACATTAGAAATGCGGAGATGCTCTGCACGGCACCGAGGGAGGTGCTCCCCCCCCGGGTTCAAGTTACCTAGGTTCAGGCTGGTGAGGCTTTGGCTAGGGGCTCTTGGGCCACATATTAAACCACCCAAGTTGTCCTGTCTGCAGGCGACCGAGAACCTAGTCTACTTGCGAACTTCACGTCAAAACCCTCCTTTGCTACCAACTGCTGTTGTAAAGTAACCTTCAATTGTGAGTCTGACTCCATCCTCGAGCCATGACATAGATTCAACCCTCCGACTCCGGGCAACTCATGCTTTTGAGCGAGCACTTCCAACAAGCAGCTACGCGTGCCCAATCCCTTTTCACTTCAGGCGCCGAAGACGAGATCGTGCCACTGGCTATAAGATTTCCCGTATTCAGGCAACATCCAGCCGATAACTGATATGCAATCATCCGCGGGACAGCCCAGTAGGAATGATTATAGTTTGAACGCGTATTCTCTACTAGAGAATCGCTACCAAATGAAACAGCAACCATGATATTAGACCCAATTTGACTCAATGCTGGTCGTGGTAGACCGTTGCCTGTTCCTCTTGTGATCGAAGCAGATTCGCTCTGTATGGACTATGGAGTCCCAATTCTCCTCTGCTCGGCCCGTAGACTAATCTAAGCATCCGACTTCCCGGCTCTTTTGGTACAGAGCAAATGCAAGGAGACTGTCTCCACGTGAACGAGTATAGACTTTGATCACCCTGACCCGAACCCTTCAAAGACGCTAAGCCAAGTTCCTTGCCAAAATTCGACTCCAAATACAGGTTACCCAGATTCTCCATTGATCAGTGGACGGGACTGCTCATGAGCATCTTGCTAGCGCTCAACATTTAAGGACGGAATGTAGACATTTTCCCAACTCCATCAAACATCAAAACCCAAAAGCGCGCCACCTCACATCCAAACATTTTTCATTGAGCACTGGGGGTTTTTGCGGAAGATACTTCAAGTTACCAAGGCCGACCATGACGGGCACGAGCAACCTTTCCGCACCAAAGAGATATATCACCACCAATAATGACAGCGGTAAAGCTGTGTGTTCACCCCTCAAATTTCCCCAGATTCTCCCTTTCGAACACTGCCAGATGGTTCGAGGATCATGTTTTGCTACGGGACTGATCACTTTCCCGTCAACCTGAATCTCGACCAGGACTTACGGTCTTATCAATATCTCATTGATAATCCGCCGGGAATCGTTGTTCAGAATGGCGTTCCATTTCGCATTCTCGATCTGCCACCTGGCTAAACATCATCCATGCACCGCACTATCAGCTTGAACTTCAATGTCGTCCTCGAAGGACAGCTTGAGTTGATCTTGGATTCAGGGGAGAAGCGCATACTCAACCGTGGCGATTCGGCGATACAACGGGCCATCAATCACGCATGGAGGAACGTCAGCTCCACAGCATGGGCTCGGATGGTTGCCGTGCCCATTCCAGCAGAGGCAATCCAGATTTGTGACAAGAAGCTTGAAGGTACTGGCATTCCAGGAATGAATTCTTCGTAGGTAGTGACGGGCAGATTTTTGGGGGGCATGCTCCGCTGGGCTCGAGAATATGAAGTATAATATATCAAAGGTTCCGGTCACACTTGATGGTACTATACATCCTCGCGCTTAGCTATTGTTTCCCGGCCTGAATAAAGATTCTGGAGATTATCTACCTGGCTGTGGCTCTACCTGTATGTGTATTAGGCCATTGGAACATTTTTGCTCTACGAATGCTAGTCTAGATGTAGCCATTACAGCAATATCACAATGTCTCCCTATCCACTTCCATCGCGGCACCATTAAATCTCGGGCGACCCACCATTTGAAAACTATTCTTCGAGAAAGCTGTTGACTCCGAATTGTCGGGCCGAGACTTTCAACATGCCACAAGACGCTCAAGCACGTTGATTAGACCGAGAACCATGTTCACACCATCGCACGCTTCGCGTTCATTCAAGGTTTACCATGGCGATCCCAACAGCCTCTGACCATACCAACGGCGACATTGGGCTGGAGAAGCAGAGCCACCCGAGCCCCATCGCTTTCGCTCACGTCGTGCTAAGAACAACAGAGGACAACTTCAAACCTATGGTGGACTTCTATGTTGATATGTTGCAAGCTGAGGTCATCAGCGAAGCTGAAGAATTCTCAATGCTACGATACGACTTTGAGCACCATCGAATCGCCATAGTAAAGATGCCCCAAGCCACACCGCAGGAGGCGCGCCTTTTCACAGCAGGCCTTGAGCACACAGCATACACCCATGCAACCTTGACCGACCTCGCAAAAACATACCGAGCTCTGAAAGAGCGCGAGAAATCCATCACTCCGCTCTGGTGTGTGAACCACGGGATGACGACCAGCATATACTATCGGGACCCCGATGGTAACAAGGTAGAGCTACAGGTTGACAACTTCGATACCTCTGAAGGGGCCGACACATTCATGCGAGGACCACTGTTCATCTCAAATCCCATTGGGACCGACTTTGACCCGGACGAGTGGTCGGGCGAAATTTTGAGCAAGATGCGAGAGGACGGCTCTGAAGGGCTGTCGGCAGAGGAGGTCAGGCGAATCAAGACCAGGAAGGAGATTGGTGCTAGGTCCAGAGTGCCCGGCTTCGTCTATGGCCTTGCGAATTGAGACATACAGCGGACTCTCCCTGCAATTTTCGAAGCGATAGGTTCTTCATCTTGGACAAGAACGCAGAGCAAATGTTGTCACTCCACGAACGACGGGGATGATCTCCGGCCAAATTGGTTTTTCTGTATGTGATCGCAGACCGCTAATACTCCGAAAATGGGCCGCGCCTTACCATATTCCAGGAGATCAAGTCGATATAATATTTGTAATCCCTGTTACAGTGTAGGAGGGAGCAACTTTGAATTGTATCCGTGGTCAGGTGGATGACCAAATTCGTCAGAGATACTTCGTACATGACCTGAACATCGACGTTAGCTCGAGCACCTAACATGACTTCGTCTTCGGCAGCGAGGCCTGATACCTGGCCAAAGGGACCCAGAATAGCACGGGAGCTCTTCCCCAGAAGCATATGAACGGCATCCAGAAGACCCCACCGTTGCCACTTTGAACAGCGTCAGCTCATAAAGTCAAATTAAGCAAAGGGCACAATCCTCGACGTACTTCATGAGAACATTCAGGTTTCCTGCATAATTGACAGGAGTCGGACTGAGGTTCCATTCGATTCCCTGAGCAATAAGACCGGGAACTCCAAGAGCTGTCTGGAAATCCGATTGAAAGGCTGCCACGGCTATTGTGACGAGGATGAGATGTTTCTTCGGGTCTGACCAATTGAGAGGATCATTTGGGTCGTCCGACGGCTGTGGAATTAGTACCGTCTGGAGATGGTCAGTTTGAGGTTCATGCACAAGCGTTGATCTCGAATGCTCCCACTTACATGTCCATCTTTGCCCAGTTTCAGATTCGCAGCTCCATGTTCAGACTTGCCCTGGCTGATATCGAGAAGAACAGCGCCGTTACCTTGGTCGATAACAATGGGCGACTCGACTTCCTCGACTCTGTCGTGAGAACCCTGTTCTTTGGAAGGATCCATACTGAAGGATGCTGCAATTGCTTCATTGCGGGCCCAATGTGTTCGACGATAGGCTTGCCCGCTTTTATGTTGACAGCCCCTACCCTGCGGGTTTGGAGGGAGGCGCAAGCCCGGGGACCCCAGATTCGGGATGTGGCTGGATCATCCTAAGGAGCAGTGGCCCGAGATTAGGCCTCATTCTCTAGGGCCAACTTTCGGCCTATACGAGTAGGGTTTTGTTATTAAAAAAATAAAAATAAAAAAAGGACAAAAGGACAAGGTCGGGCCGCTATTTTGGTCTGTCCAAGAGGTCCAGCTTTGGTGGGTGATTGCAATCCAATGTAGGGCCGAAAGAACGCCAAGAAACACCAAGAGTTTCTATGATCTAGTCCCAATGAGGACTGACTCCAGCCTGGCGAGCAACCTCATGTCTCAACATTCTCACCAGTTGTCAGTGTCTGTCGTGTGGGCGAGAAGTTGACTTACTACTTCTGGCACAGGCGGTCTGGCACTCTGCCGCGAATTGACTGTGGGCATGTATCAAGGCACCGTGCTGATGCTTTGGAGCCCCGGACGGAGCAAGCGCTCAACCAGCAGCGCACCTCGGGCTCCCACGTTATGTACGGGGAGTTTCTTGTCCTTCCGACGGTAGGCTCACAGCCCAGCTACTTCAGAGACATTTCCTGGCAATGCTACGGCTGCTCAACACAACAGAGGACTGTAGATCCTGCTCTAGTTTGCTGTAAAGCTGGCCTGGGAAAGCTTTTGGTTTTATTGATCTCACGCTTCAAGGAACTTGCTTTGAACACTGAAGATGCTTACCATACACGGCATCTTTCGAGTGCACAAATGTCCCCAATTCCCATATATGTGCCCCCACCAAGGCTACGAACTGCGCTGGACGACTTCTGGGAGCTTGTGGATCGCAAGTACAATCTGCCCCTTGGTGAGTAGCGCTAAGATATGGGTTCTGCAATTGGAGCAGCATTATTGCAATTTGACCAGCTTTCTAGATTTTCCTGACTGTGGAGGAAATTCCAGAATCTTTTGCCGACGTTCACGCCTTCTCCGTGACTCGGCTCAATGATTTCTGGCTATCAATTGAAAACAGCGTCTCACCGCTTTGAAGGAATAATGGACGATCACACTAGTATTATTTGGGAAGTTTACTTCGTTTGCATCGTTTGCTATTAACTCCGTTGTTCTACGCGGTACCGGGTAGATGGAGGCACATCTGCCATCCAATGTTGCACGTTGCAAAGAGGTCAAGATCCAGGGGTTTCAGCCTCACTCTCGTTACTCTACATGGTACGGAGTAGTCCTCATTTAACTTCGTCCATAAAAACCGCTACCGCCTCCAAGCATATTCTCCCTCGATGGATTGTTGCTGCCATCCTTGCTGACGGTTTTGGTTGTGTATCCAAACTATTTTGTTGAAACCGACCTTCAGATAGAAGGCTTCCTTGCAATCTGCAGCAATTACGCAAACCGGAAACGCTCCTGCTGGGTCGCTTTTTGCTTTAAGCAGTCCATTGCCGACAAGCTCTCTTCCATACCCTTTGCCTTGATAATCGGGATGTACAACTATGACCTCCCTGACCTGCGTATCTGTCGATGAGGTGCACTGAAAAAGTGATTGCAGAAAGGACGGATACGAGGCATGAAATCCCAGATATTGATCGCGTTGGGTCCTCTCACGTTTCGACGAGCTGCTGCTTTGTTGGGCCGGGTATATCAGTGAACACTCAAAAGCCGACACTGCATGCTTTATCAAGAGACCTGACATTGGAACAGTCAAAAGGTATGATGTTGAGCGGGAAAACTACACCTTACGGCGATCCCACCCTCCCCAAATTCCATGTACGTGCTCCCATTCTTTCCCAACACGTTCCCACTAAAGGAAACCCGTCAGAGTCTCCGTTTCATTATTGTTCGATTGCCCATCGTACAGCAATGCACTCCGCTCATCCTCATTCTTGGTCTTGTACGACGCCACAAGAACTTGGCTGAAGTCGTGCTAAGCCACCAAGAGGGGCTCTCTGGCAGCCTGAATGAATGCTCCTAGACGCTCTTCCACGTGAGGAAACGTGAATAGGAACAAGGGGTCTGACCTGAACGCTGCAACATATATCTCAGCCGTGATCGGTATATCGAATCTGGTAGCTGGGCGGATGGACATGATGAAGACGGATTGAACCTGATGTGGGCTAGCCAAAGGAAGCCTTAGCAAGAGACTCTCTAAGAAGGTCCCTGAGCTTTGCAGCAACAAACCGATATTCTTATGAAATACTTGGTCCCGACTATAGTCTATGTCCCATCCAGGGTAAAGGTTGTGGTCACCCAAGCCGGCCTTCTAGAAAGAAATGCAGCTTTAATTGAGGTCCGCATTGGCACTTGATCCGCGAAAGAAGATACGAACTGGATGCCCGAAATGGCGGGTGTCCAGTCTAATGCCCACGTCCTGATGGCATTTTGATTGTGTCCTAAAATGCGAGCTGCGTTCCTTGCCGGGGGGAGGGCGATCCGCCGATTCGCTGCCGTAAAGACACCACATATTCCGTCCTCGTATTCCGATATGTAAGCGTTGCAGCGCTACTAACTGGAAGGGTGGGACACAAAATTGGGATCAACTGCGATACATGTCGATGTTTATTGCCTCGAAAGGGAAATAACTGAGGTATGGCGATAGGCTGCTCTTTACAGAGGACTCGTGTAATGTTATCGGGGACTCGCTGATACGAATGCACCTCGTCTTTGGTAAGATCACGACTGTGCCCGTTGCAAGTAATCCACGGTTCTGAACACCTGGCGTTATGCATGACCACGGCCTCAAAAACAGAAAGCAACATGTCAGTCACTAGAAGCCGCGACGCTATTCAACCGTCATCGCTCCCCCTGCGTCATGGTTACGGTGCGTATCTCATCAACCCCATTCCCTTTGAAATCAGCGTTGCCTTATTAATGCGCCTATTCGAATCGCCTAAAAGCCCCAACTTCAATCCTCCATCTTGACATCCTGCTTTGCTGAATTCCCCAGATTCTTCAACAGATAACTCCTTTTGAAGTACGTATTCGGATGCACAATCGTTTCCAGCTCGGCGGGGCCCCATATACCTTCCTCTTTTACTTTCTTAATTTCTTGCTTGTGGGCCCACTCAAACACACGGTTACATGCGATGTGAAATCTTTTCTTCTCGACATCTTCCCTCACAACTCTCAAAACCTCGCGATCATGAACTCCCGTGGCTTGAAGCATGGCCGTGAGATTGTCCACGCTGAAGTGTCTATAAGGACAACCATGGGCTTCACCCGTGCCGGGCGGATGTTCCGTGAGGATCTTCTGGCATGAATATGGCGAATAGCCTCGCCCACGACGATTTGCGTCACCGCCTACATCGCCGTATGTGTGGCGGACATTGTAGCGGTATTCCTTATTGAATTGATCGTCGGTAATGAGTTTAAAGGCCTGCCTCCAGAAGATGAGGCAATCTTCCAGAGTGAGCCCTATGCCCTTGAGGAAAAGCGTGTACTGCAGTCGACCATAGTGCTTCAGGTGGCTATTTTTCCGGAGTGTGTTGTGCAGGTGTTTCATACAGAGGGGGAAATGCTGTGAGAGGTTGTCAATGTTTGCCGCGGTAATGGCAGCGCCTGCGAGAGAAGAGTCCGAGTCAGAGTAACCGGCGTCGGGAGTTGCGAAATTTTTAGAAAGGTGGTCGAGAATGGGAGATAGGCGGTCATCTTCGTCGAGTCGCGGCAGATTGCGCGCCGTGAGCTCTAGACCTTTGTCGAGGCGACTTGTGAACTCAGTGAGCACCATGCTGGCCTGTTCGCGCATGGGGACATATGCTTTGCCTTTGCGTACAAGGACTGTTCGATGCTCGACGAGGTCTGGTACACGAGTCCAATCCACTTTGAAAAAGTCTTCTCCTTCAAGACGCCGGAGACCAGGTGTAGCCGCCAGAAGTTGATCGCCCAGTGCTCTCTTTTCTTCCTCTTGGGCCTTTTCCCAAGGCATGTTTAAACCATCGACAAAGGCTTTACGTTCATCTCGGTCGTCTGACTGGAAGCGAAGTCGAAAGAGCATGGTTTCGACTCTGGCAAAGCGTCTGCGGAGGTCTTCTGTTCTTGAAAAGGCAAGCCTGAGAATATAGTGGGAGTAATGGTCTTTACGTCGTTGGTTCTTTAAGTTTTGGTCCAGAATCCCCCCCCGAGCTGCCGAGTTGGATGAGAGGGGGAGGTATTTCTTGAGCAAAGGTTCTAGATGAGCAGACGTCTCATCTTGGGACTTGTTTCTGAAGGAGCAAGCTTCGATCTCGGCAAGGACTTGTACCTGGTCAGTGGCAATTCGATCTAGAGATTTCTAACCTACGTACTTCTCAACCTGTCGATAGCCCAAGTCTCGAACTCTTCTAGAGTAATTTCCTGCGTGGGAGGAACATCGTAGAAAGAAAGCCGGTGGGAATAGTCAATCTCTTTGTAGGATGCAGTCGCAAACTGGGTCTTCTTGTGGTCGATACGTTTCCTCTTTGGGTCGAATCGTGGCTCTGAGCGCATCATTTCGTCTCTTGGTGCGTGTTCCAGGTCTGGAAAGGTTGATGTTGGAGGATTGAGGTGTGCAGGGTGTGCAATGATCGCGGGGAGAGACGCGTCGAGGCCGGGCGGATTTCCATTTCACGCGTCGTGAAGCATCGGAACGGAAAATCTTTTATGCGTTTCCGTACATGTCGGACACACTTTTGTTGAGCATCTTCTAGGCAGGCAGACCAAAGACCCTTTCAACTGGTACTCCGTACAACGGAGCCACCACACAAACGTCCCGCGTCTCAGGCTTTCGCATTCTGAATACTACATGATAGGTACTGCGTACTTTGTGCCAACTCCACCAGTCGGCTGCCCAGCAGCACAATGGGCGAGCGGAAACCTCTTAAATCCTTATCGGCACAGTGCGACCCGAGCCTCGAAATTCAATGGGCGTTTCCCCACGATCATTAACTATTGATTCTTCGGCTTATTGAACCATCCTAGGCCGCTATCTCGGGTGCTTCTTTTACCTAGTTCGGCTTCTCCTCTTCCTTCAAGTTGCACTTCTTTTTCCATTCTTCCACTTCTCTTGGGAGGCAGATTTTCCTGGTATCTCCACTGGTGTCTAATTTGGTTTTTCCTTCATCCTCGTCTCTTGCGATAGCAGCTCTCTCATCCCCTCAGGGCAACATGATGGGCACTTGATTCGGGCGTTACTGCCCTGACAGCTGCGCCTGAGTGTCACGCACCCGTTCCCTTCTCCGTACAGATTACAATGACTTTCGCAACCGTTACCAGAAAGCTGAAACGAGCCGCGAGAATCATTCTGGTTGGCGCTCCGGGCGTTGGAAAGGGCACACAATCTGAGCGACTTATGAAGCGATTCCCACAACTATGCTCAATTGCGACTGGAGATCTATTGCGCGACAATGTCAAAAAACATACTACGCTGGGTAGGGACTTGCCTTGAAACTTATTCTACTCCACCGCCGCTGACGAGACGGATACAGGTCAACAAGCCGAAGCCTACATGAAAGCTGGTGGCCTTGTGCCCGACCCCTTAATCCTAAATCTCATCCTCAACGAACTCACCTCGAGGAAGTGGCTTGACGCTTCCGACTCCAATGAGAACATAATTGCAGCTCTTGAGAGGGGAAATGGCTCTGCCTCCGCGGTTGTGCACGCTTCCAATTCGCCAAACACCTCGTTCATCCTCGATGGCTTTCCCCGTACAGCAACCCAGGCCAAAGCTCTGTCACATCTGCTACCCATAAACTTGGTATTACAACTGGTCACACCAGCCGATATCATTCTGTCGCGCATGGCGAATCGGTGGATACACGCGGCGTCCGGGAGAGTGTACAACGTGGGATTCAATGACCCGAAGGTCCCTGGCAAGGACGACGTTACAGGGGAGCCTTTAATGCAAAGAGATGACGACAGTGAGGCCACTTGGAGGAGGCGACTTGCCAAGTTTGAGGAAACCAGTCAGACTTTGCTCGACTTCTACCGAGACAGGGATCCAGACCTAGTAGTTAAAGTGCAGGGAAATAGTAGCGACGAGATTACGCCTCAGATCTTTACAGAAGTTGAGAGGCGATTTGGATGAGACAATAAAGAATAGAATTTTGGGACTCGCGGGAGACATCTTCTGTAACCTCGACTGTGATTTTCCAGATCCCATGGAGATCAAAATGATCTCTAAAGCCCCAGACGCCCAGCCAGAGGTGAAGTATGTATCAATCTGCGCTCGACGCGAAAACAACCTCAGCATGGAGAGATGCCCGAGACTGGCGATATAAGTAATGCATTTTGTTGTCGGCGGATGTGGATTCAGAAAAGAAAGGAGGAAAATCCAAATGGAGGAAAGAGGAAGTAGATGCGGTGCGAGGCCCGTGACCTGTGCTTGGCGTGCTTGTCAGTGATGAGCGCGTACCTGACCACTCTTGGTATTCTTCTTACAGGCAGCTTCGCTTTTCATCAACCACGCACTGATTGTGCTTCTACATGATACAGCTAGCCGCCCGCATACCTCTTGAACAACTCCTCGCCTCTAGGCAGTCAAGACCGTGCCAGTCATCACGAATCACACTCGAAGGAAGTAATACCGTTTCCCTGGTTTCAGTGGTGTCTGATGCCCCGTCTCGTCTCTTCTATACTCCACAGTTCAAGTCATTTGGGCGACAAGAATTCCAGTACTCGGCGCTTCGGCATCCTTGTCCTGAGGAGAGAACTCGGAGACTTAGGTTGACGTTTGAATACTCTCCTCCGCACCAGGATGATCTTGTCTGAGACCATGGTGACACCAAGTTACTAACACGACCGGGCTTGCCGACAACACGCAGCATACTGCCGCACCCCGGTTGCAGGTTACCGCAGGGTACTACAAGCCCCTTACACAGAATCTGTCGAATTCCAGCTTGCGCCATTACCACGGTTCCAATCGGAAGGAGCATAGGCCGATCATAGATGGATACGATAGACTTGACAGCGGCTGACATTTTTGTGATTCGGGAGAGGACAGCAATCGGTGAGGATGGCATCAAAGACATCCGTGTGACGTGCAACAACATATGGTTTTTTTCCCTTTTTCCTTTTACTTTGAAAGAAGGAGACATGGCGGTCCACGTTTTGCCCCTAGCTTTTCCCCAGAAGCCGGTCCATTCCCCCCCGCCCACTACGAGGTATCGTGGCTCCAAGACAGACACATCTTGCCCTACCTAATTTTGTAGCAAGCCACAACGACCAGGTAGAGCGGCCTTCTTTGCCTCCCTTGTTGCCCGGCGGCGGTGGGCATGGCCCGACTTCCCTTGGCCTCTATTTGTCCTCCGTGGATAGCTTCTTTTCTTCTGCATTGTCACGCCGCAAAGGAAGAGTGTGCTGGTGATCAAGTGAGCAAATCGCATAGCTGACTGGACTCTGGCCTCTTTGAATGGGAAGCTCCGGCTCCATTTAGGCACATCACGATTCACGATCGTCCCTCTGACGCTCATATTAGCATCCCCTGACCTCCACTGGGTCCTCCACTTGGCCCATCGGTGCCCGCTTCATCGTCATCACTAAGCCCGAAAGGCTTGGGGGTGGCACAAAGGGCGCCTGACGGAATGCAGCTGGGCGTCGAGCCAGGCTGCGGTAGCCCAGTTGTAGTCCAGTAGAGGAACCAATGAAGCCTGCGTCTATGGCCGTGACACATCCAGCTGCGGGCGACTGACACGCCAGACTCGCTCCGCCCCCCCAAGGCTGCTGAGGCCATGAAAGTCTTGAGGGTAGCAAAGGCCAGTCATAAGCCGCCAGGGGGCATCCCGCCGACCACAGCGACCAGGGAGGGGCATCTCGGGCCCCAGTTTCGCAAGCCACACCCACCCTTTGTGACGGTTGGCGTCTAACGAGGGCGAAAAAGAAAGAATCGTGGTTGACAGTCGGTAGCGATGGGTAGATGCGGCAGGCATGAGGCGTGGGAAATCTGCGGCTGGCTCAGACCCTGCAGGGTGAGATATAGAGGCGGTCGTTGTCGGGACTTCTTCCAAGGATTTCACGGGTGAGGAAGCATCTCAGTCCCTTCTTTATTGATACCTACCTCCCAGATGTACAGAGGGCGAAAAGGACCCCAATCCGGATATCGAGCGGACCGTTTAGCAATACTTAGTTCACCTCTCCATTGCGCCTCCCTCTCCGCCGGGCTCCATACCTAGTACCTTCTCCATCTCCAAAAAAACATCACAATCCTGGCCGATCTGCTGCCCGCCTTCGCCCTCGTGTTCGTAGCCCTGAGATCAAAAGATCGACCATCGACCGACGACTCCCTCGACGTGTCCTCTCCCCATATCCTCCTCCTCTCCCTTGCATTCTACAATTTGCGGGACCAATAGATACCTGCTACCTGGCGTCAACGAGCGCGGACCTGAAGCTGGTCTGGGCCAATTCCTCCCTTGCATTCCTCCAGTTCTCGATTCTCCAAGTTGTGGACGTTTTCTGCAACACCTTCCCATCCATGATTGGGCAGAGATTGGCGCGCAGGAGCAACTCTGGAGGGACACAATGAGCATCGGGGATGGGAACAAGAGCAGGCCCAGCTGCCTTCTTTCGTCTTCGAGTGACCTGAAGTCGTCGAGGCGACCTCCTCCCACTGCATTCGAAGCGGGTTGATTTGTACTGTCCACTCCGACATTTTTGTCCTGCCAAAAATAGCTGCCACTGTTCAGATTGAAGCTCAAGACAACGAATCTCTCTCAGATACGATGCTTACAGCACATCAGCGTTATATGATGGATCCCATCAGAGATCCGAACATCTATCAACGCCCGCCCAATGGTGCGGCCCCTCGACAATATGCCATTCCCGCGCACTCGAGTGATCCCGGACATGGGCGTCAACGTTCAACAGGACTCAGCTATGCGGAACATGAGATGATGAGACACCGGAAGACACCTAATGGCGGAAGACTGTACGAGCCGGATGCAGCTGCATTGGACAAGAACGTGCAAATACCAGCGACAAAGCATGTCATCCTCGGTTCCTCACCAGCCTTTCAGCAATCCACTCCTTCCTTTTCCAGCTCATCGTCATGGCCGGAAGCGAAGCGTTCTCAGCGACCAGAGGGGTTCAGTGGAACAGACTTAGGAAGAGAGGGAAGACATGAAATGCATTCTCAGCCTTACGGACCCTCTAAACCATTGCCCTTTCGCCCAGCTTGGGATTTTCCTGGCGGACTTGATTCAATGCTCAACCAGACTCCGCCATTACAGCCGACGCAGAGGTATTATGTCCAACCTGGCTCGAATATCCCCACCGTTCTTCCCGCTACCCTTCAGTCCCAATTTGGGCCCACTGCGTCTGCCGGGCAGGAGTTGTATGGGCCATATTGGCCGGATGGAACATACAATCCCTATCGTCCAGCCGCCATTCGAGACAGTCGTTTCTTTCCCCGCGCTCCGGCCGAGAGGTTTCCTTTAGACCATCACTTCGAACACTTTCATCAGCTTCGAAAACCTGGCCGACTGCCAGTTGCACCGAACGATGCTTACCTGCAAAATATGGCTCAACAGGTGTTGGGCACACCGATGGGGTTGATTGACTCGCCTTCGTCGAAGTGGAATCTTCATCAGAATGCATATCAGGCCTCACAGTACCCCTACGCTCATCCTTATTCGCTCCGTGACCGCCCAATGGCAGACACGGTGGCCACTGTGACCAGACCAACATTGGCATCTCTCATGCCTGGACCCCGTTCGGAGCGCATCGCTTTCAGGGATAAGACCTTCGCTTGGGCGAACAAAATCTATATGGATCTGCTTCAGACGATCAGATGTACTAACAAGGATCAGCGTTCAGGCGCACATGGTGCCTCGGGGATGAGGTCTTTGAAGCCTGCTATTTTCCCAAGACCGCCCATTAGAACCGGATCGCACTTCCAAGTTGATTCAACAGACAAACCACCATCGCAGCGGCAGGAACCTTCTAATACTTTTTACCGCTCTGGCACCGAACAGTCAACATACGATATCCCATCCCGACCACAGACAGCAATCTTCAGACCGCAGCAAGCATTAACTGCGCAAGACTTTCAATCTTTTTCGAGTCACGTCGAGTCTAGGAATCTAATTGGTCAACAGTACGGATTGAGAGATCGACCACAAGGGATAGTGCAAGTCAGCACCAGGGCCAACAATGTACCACAGGTCCCCTCTTATGAGTCGGCAATTACTGCACTCCAAACTATGGAATTGTTGTGTCAAGAAGCTGATACTCCCTGGGTGGACGGCATGCTATTGGCGGGTTGTCTGGCTTACGGCTTGGGCAACTACGTCAAAGCTGAGGAATGGTACAGAGCGGTTTTGAGACAAGATCCAAGCCATATCGAAGCTATGTCTAATCTAGCAGCAACTTGCCACGCCCTCCATCGCCGTGAAGATGCCCTCAAATATTGGTCAGATGCTGTCAGCTTACGACCCAGCTACTTTGAGGCGGTGGAGCATCTTATCGGATTGCTGTGTGCAAGCCACAGAGCAAGAGAGGCTGTCAGTGTGATCGAATATGTTGAGAACACGCTCCGAATTCGGGGCGATGATCCTCATAACTCTTGGGCCGAATTGAGTGATGCGGAGAGCGACACCAAAAGCCATGCTTCGAGCATTAATACAGTCGCCTCGTACGATAATGCGCAGTATGACTACGACCTGGATTATAGTCAGAACATCTCGGCGGGGTCCGAACCTCAGCCTCCCGGCTATGCTACGAGCGGTTACGCAATTCCTGGGGCAGACAACGGCCGGATGCTGGCTCTTGTACATGCCAAGGGGAATATGTTATATGCCCTTGGCCAAAATCATGCTGCGGCTGCGGCATTCGAGGACGCCGTTCTTATCTCCACGGGCCGGAGGAAACAGGGGATCAGGGGTCTGATTGATGATATCTTGACAGCTTGTCTGCGCACCATCCGCGATCGCGAATATGTCCGAGCAAAGCTCGAGAGCAATGAACCCATCTTGCTGACACCCGAACACGCCGAAGCCACTGCCAGGCACATGTTTCCGCCAGAAGGCAACTTACCTGGCCTAGAACATGTCTCGACCCCTTTTGCGGTACAGGCAGGAATCTCCACCACGAGTAATTCCCTACTTTCCCTCGCCAAAATCTATCAGGATGGCATGTCCAATGCGACGGAAATTGGAAGTCTCAAATCACCGACGACAAGGGAGATTCTAGCATTGTACTACCTGTCCTTGTCTTTGCAGCGGAGTCCCTCGACAGCGAACAATGTGGGGATCCTCCTCGCCGGTGTCCAGCAGAGCGTGCATCCTGACCATCTGGCCGATTCGAACTTTTCCCAGATTTCCAATATACCAGGGGTTGTCGCTGGCACCGGAGTGTCATTGGCATTGATGTACTATAACTACGGCCTCAATATCGACCAGAAGCACGCTCATTTGTTCACGAACTTGGGTAGCCTATTGAAAGATATCGGGCAACTTGGCGCTGCCATCAAGATGTACGAGCGGGCAGTGGCCTGCGATGGCAGCTTCGACATTGCGCTGGCCAATTTGGCGAACGCCGTTAAAGATCAAGGCCGTGTGGCTGATGCCATTGCCTATTACAGACGAGCAGTTGTAGCCAACCCCGATTTCGCTGAAGCGGTTTGTGGACTGGCAACGGCATTGAATTCGGTATGCAGCTGGGATGGCCGCGGTGGCATCTGTGCCAAGGACCCCATGCGAGACAGTCTGCATGTAGACGAGAGAGGTATGAAACAAGAACCGACCCGGCCACACGGATGGATCAACCGAGTGGTGGAGATAGTCAAGAAACAACTCAAGGATGGGGAAACTTGGGGGTGTGGAACATTGACCCCAGCTGTCATCGACTCCCTGGCGGTCCAATTGACCTTGCACAAGCATTCCTCCCAGGACAGCGGGCGAAATCAGACATTGGAAACTGTGCGACAAGCACTACGATACTGGTCCGGACAGAGATGGGAAGGATCTCGAATTGTTCGCCTTGTAGAACGCGCAATCCGCCAGATTGGGTGGCAATGGTATCAGGATCGCTACAAACGTCGAAAGGAGTATCCGTCTCGAAAGTACGCGCGACCATATCTTCCCAACTCGCTGTCGTCGCCCTCAGCGCCAACAGTACTTCCTTTCCACACATTTACAGCGCCGCTCTCTGCCAAGCAAGTCCGACAGATCTCGCAGAGAAATGCCCTCCGCATCTCTGTCTGCACTCTTCGATCTGCGTGGCTTCCGGCTACCGTGTTTCCTCCGCCGTCGCCTCCGAGTCCCTGTTTGAATGTGGGCTATGTCAGCTCAGACTTCAACAATCACCCTCTGGCACATTTGATGCAATCCGTCTTCGGCCTGCACGATTCATCGCGAGTGAGGGCTATATGCTACGCGACAACAGCCTCTGATGGTTCTGTCCACCGCCAGCAGATAGAACGTGAAGCTCCGATCTTCCACGACGCGTCATCCTGGAGTGTGGAACGACTGGTCAATCAAATTGTGAAAGATAACGTCCACATCTTGGTCAATCTCAATGGGTACACTCGAGGCGCACGAAATGAAGTTTTTGCCGCTCGGCCTGCGCCTATCCACATGTCTTTCATGGGCTTCGCTGGCACGCTGGGAGCTGAATGGTGCGACTACGTATTTGCCGACACGATTTCCGTGCCTCCCGACACACTCTCGCCATGGCGGCGCAATGTGGACATTGAAGATCGACTACGGGCAGACTCGTTGGTGGAGGACGTCGAGGATTGGGTGTACTCAGAAAACGTCATTTTCGCTCGTGACACGTTCTTTTGCGTGGACCACAAGCAAAGTGCGCCCGATGCAGAGAAGGGCCCTCCAAATCTCAAAGACCCCGCCAACCGTGAAGCGGTTTGGGAACGCGAACAAGACAACCGCTGGAGACTGAGGAAGGAGTTGTTCCCAACCTTGTCCGATTCGGCCGTCATTTTGGGCAACTTTAATCAGCTGTACAAGATTGATCCAGCCACGTTCGACATGTACCTCCAGATTTTGAAGGCGGTCCCCCACGCAATATTGTGGCTGCTGCGCTTCCCGGATTTAGGGGAGCAGAATCTCAAACGCTACGCGGAGAAATGGGCCGGCAAGCAAGTAGCTGACCGCATCGTGTTTACCGACGTTGCTGCCAAAGGCACGCACATTACACGCGCATCTGTCGTCGACCTCTTCCTCGACACCCCGGAATGCAACGCACATACCACGGCTGCCGACACTGTCTGGTCCGGCACGCCCATAGTCACATGGGGCAAATGGAAATATAAGATGTGCAGTCGCATGGCAGGCAGCATTGTAGCAAGCGCATTGCCGGAAGGTCGCGAAGGCGATGAAGCAAGGAGAGATCTGCTTGTCAGGAGTGAAAAACAATACATCGACACCGCAATTCATCTCGCGCAAGACCTCAAATACCCTTCATCCGAGTCTAATGGACAGAAGATCGGCCGTGGCAGAGGCAGATTGGTGGATTTGCGGCGCATGTTGTGGGAAGGGCGTTGGACGAGTCGGCTCTTTGATACGAAGCGCTGGGTGAGGGATTTGGAAGCGGCATACTGGTCTGCTTGGAGGAAATGGGAGAAAGGCGAAGGTGGTGACATATGGTTATGAATAAAACAAATGGGACCTACAATGGCGGGGAATTGTGTCTTTATGCCTGGGCGATTTCAAGGTGCGTTTTCCACGCGAGGATGAGCGAGCGAGTTTGGGGTGGTGCTCGCATGCAAGCGAGCTGGCGCGGTGGGGTTCGTCGATTCTTCGATTTCAACAAAGAACAGGGCGCAAAAAGTTGTCTTCAGTACGAAGGACATGTATGAGTGTCACGGACAGACCCTCTATGGGAATTTTTTTTTCTCATTCCTTGTGTTAGGTGGAGAGGCTGAATGATGATCCAATCCTATGGAACACGAAGATACTTGACGACATTTACGAAACGAGAGAAAAGAACCAGTTTGACGGTGCATTCGGCACCTTGCGACCTTGCTTGCTGGAGTTTTGGGTCGGAAGAGAGAGATCCGATGACGCGTGCATGTATGCATTCATCCAGTGTGGCTGGGTGATAATGGGATGCCTCAAATCAAAAAGTGGCTTGTTTCTCATTTGGAAGCTGGACGGTGAACTGATGAGTGGGGAGAGAGCCAGCGAGTTCATCGTCTGCCGCTGCTGCCGCCGCTGCTGCTGCTGCTGTTGTTGTTGTTTCCAGCGAAATGGGAAATGGGAATGCGCAGGGGGAACAAGGGAAAGGGAAAGGTAAAGGGAAAGGGCTCTCTATTATATCAATGGATGGATCATCGAGGGATCGATATAATATGATAAATTGTGGCAGATTGTGATATATTGGTATGCTGTATTACTCCGTACTATTACGTGAGAAATGGATGTCATGGCCGCCGCATTGGTATGGTGATGTCCAGCAGAGTAGATGCAGCATGGTATATGGGACACCGTTTGTGGAACACGATATACAGTATGTATATCCAGGGCTATGGCGTCGTAGGAGGGAGAGACCTTCAACTTCTCTCGGACAAACAGCCACGCGTGTATCCATTCGGTGTGGTCCTTTCTTGGTTCGGTAATGTCGGTGTTTGATATTGAGATTCACCACTTCACCCACTCGTTCACAGTTCTCTCTATATCCACCTACGCACACCCTGAGTTGCGATCCCATTTCCTTCTTCCGTTAGGAACCCTTGTTGCTTCGAGCCCCAAACCTCGTGGAGAGGGCAAGGAGATATCTCTTTCTGTGGATATTGTTCCTCTATAATTCTGCTTGTCTTTTCTTTCTTGACGTGTCGTTTCTCGTCATTTCTCCTCTTTCATTTTTCTTGCCTTGCCTGCCAGTAGCACCTGCCAAGATCCTCCAAAACCGTCTGTTGTATCCATGGTACAAAAGACAGAGGCATGCCTCCGTAGGGGGCTATCCTCCTTCTCCTCCTCTGGTCTCTTCCCCAGTCTCCCCCTTCTTGCTCCTCTTTTCATCCTGTTGGCTTCTCTGCTACCGGACTGTCCTCTTTGCTTGTTCTGCAGACAGAAACACAGGATCTCACAATAGTTGAATATCTCTGTAAGTAGGTAAACCGGAAGGCAGGTATGTAGGTGCGTATCTAGGTAGATATGCTGCTCCTAGGCTTTCCACACACCGAGGGCATGGAGATGGGGAGTGAACGGGACACACACGACACGCGGAAAGGAGGTACTCGTTGAAAATGGGGTAGAGACGGCGGTTCTTTCGCGATTTTGGAGTGGAAGGCCTAGCAGGCGAGGAAGCGAGACGAGACGAGACGAGACGAGACGAGAGAAGAGGCAAAGATATAGCTGTAGCTCTAGGGTAGTTGCTTTGACTAATCCCTGCTCACCTGCCAGATTGTAGAAACGATGCATGGATGGACGAAAAACATGGACGAGCGAGCGAATTAATGAGTTAATTAGAAGGGAAGGGGAGAAAAGGAATCAAGTCGTACCTCGTTGGATAGTGCACGCGGACCAGCCACAGGTGTTCTAAGGGAGCAGTTCTGGACCTTGCGTTCCTCGCGACGAGTGCCTTCTGCAGATAGGACGGCATGAATCGGTGGATCTGGCATCATCAAGGGCCGACGACGAGCTCGAGATTGTGAACGAGCAAGAGACCCAGTAATTGCCCTTGACCCGGCTCTTTCTGTGTGCAATGAAGGGGGAGTGATGTTGGTGGTGTATTCAGCACTCGAAGAAAAGGCGTCAAGGAGTGTAAATCATCGAGGGGAAGAAGACCTGCTAGCTAGCAGTGAGAGGTGAGGGATCACATAGCATAGATGGGGGTTTTTTTGTTGTTTGACAAGGGAGAGGCGAGGCGAGGTACACCTTCATCCGACGCAAGCCTCAAACCATAGAGATTCTTTCTCCCCTTTTGAGTACTACAAGCACTCTTAGCTGGACATCAGTTGAACGGCCGCAAAGGCTGATTCAAGAAAGACCAGCTTCCCCTACAGCGCCCGCTATGGATCATCCATCATGTCTGCACTGCGGTCCCTTTGCGGGCTCTGAGGGGCGGTTTGGCAGGACGTCTATGTCCTGTTTTGGCTCTGCTCTGCAATATAAACCATCCATGGACTCCCGCCATGATGAGGAAATTACGTGGGGAAAAAGAATGAATGAAAGAATTCAACTTCAGGACAGAACAATAGAGCTGTCACCTGAATACACTGAGAAATTGCTTTGGCGGAACACATGAAATGGGGGAGGGCCAGGGAGGAGGAGGGGAGAGAGAACGAGAGGGCCTCAAATCTACCTAGACGCCAAAGCTCGAGAAACCAGAGATAAACAAGCGTCGAGCATCAGCTGATGTCCAGGTATGCCCTCCTCGGTCCCTTTTCCCTACAGAGAACCTTTGGAACAGACACGGTCCAGCTTGATTGTCCCCTTCGTCCATCACCCACAGGTAGTATGGAGCCATGACCAGGACCCTCCACACCTCTGAAGTACCTGCTGAGCGAATAGACGCCTCAAGCCCTGGATATGATGGATGAGTGGTGGTTGGAAGAGGGCCCAGGAAATGTGTCGGACATGAACTGCTGCTGAATGCTCTCCCATCGCTCCCAGTCACCCAGGGGCCCATGTTTTCCCGTCGTCGTTGGGCGCGTCTCTCTGCTGGGACTTGTCACTTAGAGGTAGTCTTCTCCCTCGTTGCAGCAACAGGTCCATCGAGGTAGATTCAGTTGCGTTGAACAGGCTCAATGCTATCACCAGCTAGAATATGGGGTCTTTCCAGCTGGGATGTGCCGGGAGTGGATCAGATGGAGTCGGCTTTCAACGTTGAATAGTATGCCGGTCACGACACGGTGAACTCAACTGGCTTCGACTCCTCTGGGCCTCGTTCCATTGCATAACAAATACCCACCTTGCTCATGGCCAGAGGAAGGTGGCAAACTGCAAATTCCTCGCCCACACGCACGATACCTTCGCAATCACACGGTCTGTTGATAGATGGCCAGATACGACGTGATTCTCGATCTTTGAGCATCTCATGTCGATTATTGAATGGCATTCATACAGCAGTCAATAATTAGCGTCGTCACTTCTTGCATATGCCCTGGCTCAGCTGAATGATCTGCAGGTCGATGCGGCCGACTGAAGGCATGCATCAAATTGCGTATCCACAGACCGAAAGAGGAAACCACCAAAGCACGAGATCGACCGATCCTGAGTGCGTCCGGCTCTGGCAAACGGCAAGTCAATGGGGATTGCATGCAAGGCAGCCATTGTGCAGAAGGCCAAACCCTTATCCTCGAGTCCTGATTCAACTGCCCTTAGCGACGTGCTGCCAATCGCAACATTCAAAATACCTCTGCTTTCACGTTTCACTTTGGCCTCCACCTTGCACCAAAACCGTCATTTGATATATTTAGAAGATTTCAGTCTCCCTCCAACGGTGATGGTCGCAAGGTCCACAAAGGCACCGACGGCGGTGAAGTGTCAAACTAGGTTGTCGAAGGTTTAAGGACCTTGAGAGCGTGGCAGGGCATAGCCCGTAGGGCGACTGCGGGCGAGAAATTTCTAAACGCCTTTAGCCGACAGTGATTCTCCGTCCTGGGGACATCTGCCCTAATTTGCATCTGCACGCCATCAACCGGCTCCTTTACAGGGGAGAAGGGGATCCAGCTTGTTCAGGGGGTTCCTTGTCAAAGTTGATGCTTGAAGATCTAATCAAGTGAGACGAGATGACTCTTGTCCCAGCGGGATCAAAGATTCCACGTCATTCCAGGCAGAGCGAGATACCCGAGCTGACGCTTCGGGCCATGGACTCCTTTGGCTGGGGATGGGAGTGTGAGGTCTTTAGCGGAGGAATACCTTCTGGTCATGTTCTGTCGGGGCTTTGAAAAGGTGTGAAAGTGTTGAAAAGTGCGCATGGCAAAGGTCTGAACGACCAAGCTCTTCGCCAAAAGGTGGCCTTGGGGTTCAAAGAGTCGTTCCAAAAGGTATATTATCATTGGGATCATGGTCACTGCCCGCGCTGTGCCTTCGCTGGCTGGCGGTAAGAATTAGGCAGTATTTGGACGACTAGCTGTGACGGCTGGCACCCATTTGTTTTGGACGTGCTCCATCCAGGTACCTCTTGGGGTGAGCGGTCACCACCAACACCCCCACAACACTGTCCCTCTCGGGAGTCCCCAGCCCCATGGCTACCAGCGGATTGCGTGAGACCGAGGGATAACAGCGATGAGGGCAAGAGAAAGCGGAATCGGCAAGTATCGCCGCAGACTAGGCTGCGAGACGGCACGGTAAATTCCAGACTCTCGCATCCATGTGAGCTTTGGTTGTCTGCGTCGGGCAGATGAGTAAAACCCAGCGGGTTAGGTGTACGGAAGAAAAGCCATGGCTGACAGCAAGAACGAATGGTGGACAGCTTTCATGCAGGAAAGGGCCCAACCGATGGGGGAGGAGCAGAGGGCCATAAGCATGTCCGTGGTGTTTTGTGGCACCATTGGGTGGCGAGACGTGCCCATGTTTGGGTGGTGATGCCCGACTCCAGACATCCGCAGAGCATGTATCTGTCGTATCTGTCTGTAACTTTCAGGCCACAGCGGTGGACTTGCATCCAAACCAAAAATGGCCAGCCTCGTTCCTGACTTCATGCG